AATTTAAAGATCTGTTTTCATATATCATAGATTGAAAATGCCCATTAGAGATTGACCTTTTCCATTATTTGTCCTTGGTCTGGTAAATAGGACACTCACAGACAGAAAAAAAGTAGCCTGGATGCCAGACCCATGGCATGTTAGCCCTGGAGCTTAGGACCTGGCCTGTGTAGACCCTGGAAACAGTCTGGCACCCAGGCTAAAAGGATGGCATGTGGCATTCAGAGGGTTATGACTAGAGCAGACCAAAGGTACCAGGCTGTGACAGGTAGGATCATCTGTCACCCTCCACCTTCCCCTCCCTCTGTTCCTGTGCATCTTGTTATGTTCGCCATGGTTTTACTTTCACTTCAATCCATGACACTGGGAATACTGTAATTCCTGATTTTTTTTCGCAACACACTTATGTTTCCGATTTTCACCGTCACTTCTGTACCGCAAACTTATCATTACCTCGAGCAATTAATTTGCACTTCCTTTTTTTCTGCACCTGCCACCACCGTGAATACCTCCATTTTTCTCAGACCGCGAATGTTTGCTACTGTGAACATGAAGTGAATTACAGTATGCATTTCCAATGTATTACTACTGTACAACATAACTGTTTCAGCCATGAATTTAAACCTCCTTTCTCCTTCAATGTCTCTGTGAAAATAAATGAATTTACAGTAGCATCCTGCAAAAGGAATCAGCTTCTATTTAGTATTTGAAATGTGTAACATTCATAACAAAATTTACAGTACTGCAATCATTTGATATCACTGGGAATTAAATGTAAGGCCACACCAAGTAAATTATATGGATGACGTCCGCGCCAGCATTGATTTTGGCATGTTCCTAGAAAACAAAACAAGAAATTCCGCTTCCTGTAACTATGACCAAAGAGTCACGACAGTGCCGCAAATCGTTAGATTGACGTGAAACCCGTAACGCGAAATGGGTAAACAGGGCTCGAAATACCCGGTGGCGCACTGGCGCGGCGCCACCTGATTTTGCTTGGCGCCACTTATTCCTAAACTCAGGTGGCGCAGTGCGCCACCTATAATTTGCGGTAGGGACGTCACTGCTGCGACACCGCTCTTCCCCAGCTGCTACATGTAACATCATCCTTGCGCAAACGAAGAACATGGCACACGTAACACCACCAGCATAAGTGTGCCGCAGTAGCAGCTGAGCCTGAAGACATGTAAAGGTGGCAGCAGGGTTGGACAAGTTAAATTGCCCGATTGCCCCGGGCAAGTAAAAGTGCTAATCAGGCAAGCACATCTCCCTCTGGGCTTGCCCGATCGGGAAAGTTAAATTTTTGTGACACCCCAGTATAGCGGCAAAATTGCTGATTTTTTCTCGCAAAAGTACCAATTAATTCCAGTCAAAATCATGTCCATTTGTAAATAAACCCATTAAAAGTCCCTAAATACCATTACCTTGACAGATTAATCGGTAAATAGCTTTATTTTCTACGAAACACCCGGGGCCCAGCGTCTCGCCTTGATCCGCGGCGCCATGTTTGTTTTGGTCTCGGGGGCCCCACTCTCGCGAGACTTGGTATCCTTATATCACTAGAGGGATCACGTGACGTCACGAGATCTTGCCTTTGACAGCGTTGCGGGAGTGCAGGAACAGCAGACGATGTTTCTAGAATTGTTTGGGGGATTTTGAACTGTCATCAGGCTTAATTTTTGGGGGGAAAATGAAGGAAAGAATATTCTAAACAGCCAGAAAGATAAGATTGTTGGCTAAGTTGGTTTTTTGAAATGGAATCTTCCCTTGTGGCCCAACCACGCATAAGGGCATGAAAGTTGGGCAATGCGTGACTGATTCCCTATTTCCCTTAGGAAATCTGTTTGACGACTTGGTCCTTGCTGTAAGTTACATTTGTTTACAGGTCACCGGAAGATAACACTGGGCTAGATTGTTTTGAAGATTGTTTAAGAAATGCATAGAAAACTTCTAAGTTTCTTTGAAGGTACTATTAAAAAGACATTTGTGTTGAAACTTGTCTTACATTACTGGTAAGTTCAAATCAATGACACCTTTTTTGTTGATTATTCTGCCCATTTAATGTTTTCTACTCTGTATGGTAAAGGAAGTGGTTTAGCTGAATGAAATTATGTTTAAGGTAGTTTTATGTACACTGGCTTTAATAAATTCTTTTTTGGCCAATGAAGCTTCTTCAGATTTGTAGAAAATTTTACCTGTTTTGTTGAACGTTGTCTTTAGAGTACCAGTATATTTTGCACAAAAGTTTGTACCTTGAAGTTGAAGGAAATAGTTTCAGTAGCAGCAAATATTGTCCCATGTTGTCAAACACATCATATCTTTAGTAACTTGACATAAAATTGCCTAATAACTTAACAGTGTTTTTATTTATAAAAAAAATAGAAGGATTGCATTGTTGCAATTAAGAATGCATCAAAATATGTCATATATATTTTGGGCAAGTGAAAAGTTGGTTCGGGCAAGTGAAATGACAATGTACTTGCTCGATTGGGCAAGTGGATTTTTGTTCGAGAATAACAGTAGAAGCTCAACAGAACATTGTTGTTCGGGAATAACAGTAGAAGCTCTGAGCCTGAAGACATGTAAAGGTGGCATTCTTTATTAAAACATTGTTGTTTGAGAGCTTTTGTTCTTTACATTACTTTATTTTATAACATAAAACTTCAGTAGTTAACTAGAAGAAAACGTAATAGATATAAGTAGCAGATTTGAAGAAAATGATAACTTGGAAGTGTTGCCACTTGAATACTGATGGCGCCACCTGGCTTTTGACTCAGGTGGCAACATGCGCCACCTGGCTGAAAAAAGTATTTCGAGCCCTGGTAAAGAGCACATGCTTTGTTTCTGCAGGCCTGCAAAAATGTGAAAGAAACAGGACAGGACAACAACTACATGTTCCACCTGATTTATTGCTGTTTTGATGATGAATAAAAGACTTCTTGCTTGTTAATCTGTCACCTCATTCAATTTGTGTCCTAACATTTGTCGTCTCTTAGTATATTTCTAATGTAGGCATCTTGTTTTTTAGGGCCCTTCTTGTTTTTTTTTTGCCCTCTTGCATTAGATATAGGGTCTCCAAAGGACGTCATCCATAAAATTTACTTGGTGTGGCCTAATATAGGGACGTTATCAAAGTAATAAAGACATAAGTTTAGATACAGTTTGTAATATGTATCCGGGATTATCAACAACATCACAGTCTACAGTTACTAAATTTCATGTTTTTTTTTAGTTTCCAGTTCCTGCAAAAATAAAGGAATTTACAGTAGTGTGGTTGTTATTGTTGGATTGAACCCAAACATATGCCGGAATGTTAAAATTCAAAAGCTGACTTTCAAAACTGCAGACAATCTTGGCATACCGCAAGGCACAGGCTCGTTTTGCAGACTGGCACACATAACACAGACCAGCGGGAGGGCACTGGCACGGTACTGTACATGTAAACCACAGGTCCGGGGTTTGATCCCCAGTTATGTAAATCTATGGTCACTTCCTCCCATGTGTTTCAATGCTATTAGTACCAGTATTTTTCTGACCTCCCTGGCCAAGGTAATTTACATAGATGCAACCCGTCCATGCATCTGCGTGATCTCTCTAAGGTCACAAGTAGACATTGTAACCAAAATTGTAAAGAAAGGACATAGCTAGAAAACATGGGGCGATACAGGGCAAATTTATAGCCGTACTTTTGTGTTCTATGGCTGCTTTTAAGAGCAGAATGGCATTGAGAAAATGCCTTCCTTAATCACAGGAAATAAAAGGCCAGGGACAGATTTATGAGAGTGGCGCGGCACGGGAGGTAGTTTTACTGGCTGCTGAAATTTGGCCGCAACAAAGGGAGTACATTACTCAAGAAATGTTTTTTGTACAGGCTCGTGAAAGGTTGCTGTGAAGACTGTATCATCAGCCCGATCCAGTAGGTCAAGGAATGCTCAGGACCCAAGGACGCTGTTACCGCAGATATTCAAAACACATGCATAGCCGTTGAGGCTGCCAAGGCCAAGGTGGTATATCTAAAATAGCTTACCCTTGCACGCTTGATCCCAAGCATGCATAATCGGGAAAAAATCTGGCTAAGCAAAGTCACTCAAGGTCACACGGAAAGGCAGCAACACGAAATTCACGCGTGCAGAACAAGGGTTGTGTTTGTATATGCATAACTGGCGACGGTACTCTCTTTAAGAAATCGCCGTGCTGTTTTCTGATGACATCTCACAAAACACGTTCTGATTCCCTGCATAGATCCAAAAAGGAATTTGTACACTACACATCTGACCAGTTCTGCCCCTTTAACAATGGGTAGTCATGGAAGGGTCACTGGGTTCCCAAGGCTGCCAGGGCCTTCAGTTACAAAGGCAGAATCATAATAGCGGGGTCAAAGTACAGGTCACGCTACCTTCCTGTTATATAAGCGACCTGGGGGTCAGGTTCAGTTTGTTTATCTGCACACATACAGAGACGGAATCCTGAATAGCAACACAATTCCCGAGACTCGTCCCTAAACAGTCATAGACACACAAGTACAATGCTGATTCCTCCCTACACAAGTCATCTTTTGCATTGTTTGATAAACAGAATGTTTTCTCTGTGAACTTTTTAGAATGTCTGTTAGCAGATTTTAAAAGTAATTCATATCAGTGGTGAGGCTTGCATTCTCTCTCTAAGTTCTTTTTCTAGCTCCCCACAAAAAATTTTGTGCCACATTCAATTATGGCTGTTCACCAGATTCTAACACTTGTAGCTTGTTGATAGGGGGTATGAATGGGGGCCTGCATGACATTTTTCGTAAGGTGTAATCAGACCTTTTCAGTCTTCGTAATCCGAAGGCAGCCTCTTCAAAAGTCAACGTAATATTAGTAAAACACTCGTAAAACGCTGAGACTTTAACGTAATTCGTAGTCGGTGGCAAAATTTGGGAATAATTCATAATCACTATCCCCCCATGCAGGCCCTCGTGAATGTCTTATAAAGGGGGAGGGGGGCAGGTTCATGAGGCTTACCCGACTCTTGCAGATATCTGTAGACCAGAAAGTTGACCTCGTCACTGCTGATACTCATGGTGGCCGTGTCTGTGTGTCCCGTTGTGCTCGCTACCTCCGCAGACAACACATCAGTTTCCCGCGCTCAACCAAAGACTCACCTGTGCATAGAAAACAAAAACTCAATTTAGAATTGTCACACAATTCATTCTTTTGTCCATTCAGCAAAAAATTACACTACAAAGTGCCATGTGTGACATAAAAATCATTAAAAAACTATGGGCAATGCCAACTGTGAATGGAAAACAAAAATTAGACTATTTAGAATTGCCACACAATTTATTTTTTGTCCTTTCAGTAAAAATTACAATACAAAGCGTCATGTGTGATATAAATGTCATTTAAAAAAGGAATGAAAATGCCAATCAAAAGTGAACTTATAACATTTTCAATATCCATTCATGCCACTAAAACATTTTATCACAATGATTTTGACAACTGATTTGAATATGGCCCAAATCCAGTTCATTAAATGTTGATATCACATGGATAACAGCTGTGCTACTAAAAGAATAATTAATCTTTCCCTCTTTGATTACTAACCAGTACAAGTGTGTGTACTAACTGGTAGCCTTAGAGGCCAACATTTAATTGTCAAACTGTTATATGAAAGGAAGGGGTCAACGTCCTGCCAACCTGTGACCTGTATTAAAGACAACAAACAAGATGAACATACTTGTACCAAGGGCACACAAGCTTTTATCTTTGCTCTTTACATCTGTACAAGAGCTTATCCCCTAGCCCTCACATGGTTGTGACATCTTGAATTGGCAACGTATCAAGCTGTCTCCTCAAAGCACACACAGAGCATAGAATACTCACTTTATCAAACGACAATTACTGGCAAAGGCAACAGCTTGCGAGAACAGCCTTGTTTTCGTGAGGTTTCAAATCATAACTATATATCCAGGACAGCTGAAGACAAATGCTCTCCGTTTCCCAGCCAATGGCAAATGCCACCAGAGATAAAGTCAAGCAACATCTGGGTACGACAGATAAAGCTGGGGCGCTGGCTTGATTGATAACATTTCAGAATATTACATGTACATTTGGGTGTTGACATTACTTCATGCACTTTTCCTGATGGCAGTTTTACCAAGTGTTCAGATAAACTCAAGCATTAACCCTCCTCTTGCTAATGTAGCCTTCTGGCACCTTCTACTGCTAATGGCAGTAGGCTGCATGAAAGGGGATAAAAACTTTTCTGATGTTTTGCAATACTTTATCATTATTAAAATACAGACTGACAGATGATTCTGTGAAATACAACCTGATGCGACTAGATAATGAGGACTTTGATGAGAGCAGATAGTAACACGCCCACACACTCATCATTAGGATTGAGATTTGCGGTGAATGATTAGCACAGGTTACAGATGCTGGAAAGGACTTGACCCAATAGCACTTGTTAGCCACATGGCCGGCCACCTGCTGCAAGTAAGCAATTACGGAATTATGAGGTCCCAGATGGGACTTGGCATTATGAGGGTGACTAATTGGTGACTAATTAGTGAGTAACTAGCAACAGGTAGACAATACAAATTCAGGCAAGGGTAGGCTTCTTGTCGCATTTGATCATTTCATTTGCCAGAAGATTTCAAAGTAAAGAATAATTCAGCAGTTTCATATTTATTTCTTGCAGACATCAAGTCGAGAAAGGCAAGAGGTAAACATTTGACATCAAGATTTCAAAGGCAAAATGAGCAGACTGTGATTGAAAAAGTCTTTTCAAAAGTATAGAGTTGATACATAGACCATTCCTTTGGTGTACTTCCTATTATAATAATATGTAAAGGCCAATATCAGTTATTACTCCAAAAAGCTTTTAGATGCACTCGGGAAGAAAATGCAGTTGATCCAATACAAGCATATACTGAGAAGTAGGGGTGCATACCGGTTCACTGGACTTGGATCCGGACTTGTAAGAATGTTCAAGTCCAAAAAAACCTAAAAGTCAAGAACCGAGTCCGGACTTATTACCATAAAAGACCATTTCACGCAACCCCTTTCTTTCCAAACCACCTAAAACCTTCCGTAGATTGCAAAATCTTTGCTGCAAAATGAAGAAAACATTGCCATTGGGCATCGTCAAGTACCGGCTTCCATGTTATGTGGCCAAATTTTAACCCAGACAACCCAGCAAGGTTGCCAACATGCAATTTTGTATATGCCATGGGTTTAGGTCCGGACTTACAAGTCCGGAACTGAACCTAAACCTCTGGACTTGAATCCGGACCTGAACCTAAAATTGGGTTTAGGTATGCACCACTATCTAATACTGAGAAGGCAGTCACGTTCTACCAAACGCGGACAACACTCTCAAGTACTTACCGCATCATGCGAGGAGGTTTAATTGGATGGTGGTCCCCCATTGCGTTAAGTAGGAGGCAAATGCTACAAATGTGTTGGAAAAGGTGAAACGTCCCTGAGAGCCACATAAAAACAAACAGCCATTTAGACTTCAAGCACTTGAATCTCGAACACCTGGTCCCCAGTCTTATCTGCCTGGCTATGGGGAAACAACTTCAAACAAGGCTGATCCCAGGCCGCTGCGTTTGACAAGGTTTCAACTATCCGACCTGCCAATTGGGTATAACACCAGCATAATGACATCCAAAGACTTCTAAATCGACCTATGAATTTTCCAAGGCCACCTCTTGCTTTTATGGAGTCAAACAGCTCCCGGCACAAGTCAAAATCTGAAAGCATCGGGAGCTATATTTAACATTAAAGGACTGACATTTGCTGGCAAAGGCAGCCTACAGAGTATTTATAAATAAGACACTTGTTGCTTCAAGCCAAAATCTGTCCATCCAAAGGCGGCTGTGTAATCTTAAACAGTTGGTGCAGGCCCAATAAGGGAAAGGTCCAGCCCAGGTTGACCTCTGCCCTATTTAGGTCCAGCAATGAGTAAATGGATTCGCCCCTGCAGTGTCTAAAGTATAAATATTTACACCGTGGCGCCCTAGATCCACAGCGGATCCAAGGTCGCTCCAGAGTGACCGAGTGTTATCTGAGGAAGCAGGCAGCAGCGCTGGTTATGTCTGGTCCTGCCCTGTTGTTTGGGGATGTGGGATTTTTCGAGGAATGACCACGACCATGGTGAGGTCTGTGTGGATTTGGAACCGTGCCAGACATTCCCTGCTGCTGCCCTTGGGTGACCTGGAGGCTTGGCTCCACCCCTTTCCATTACATCATGTCTCTTCTCTGGATCATCAAGGAAAAAACCTTGTCTCATGTCCTCGAAAAAATAAGGCTGCTCCCCCCCCTCAAAATAATATATTATAATACATGTAGTCCAATTCAGACATCTGCTTGAAGGTAAGAACACCCACGAAATGAATGTTTAACCCCCCCTCACTGAGAGACAATTTATGCAGTGTGAACACCTACCACATGTCCAACCTTGACTTTGAGTTTGACATTTGCTACAGAGCACAGCTTCAGGAATATCCTTTCAATCAGAAAACGCTTGTAAGTAGCTGAAGGCGCGTGCACTGAGCAGACCACAGCACAATGATCTGATTAAAATACCCAATTTAGATCCTGTCCAGACAAGTTATCAAGAGAAACTTGGTTTCTTGGAAGAATGTAGAACCATCTGAGTAAGTAACTCAGCGTGGAACAATATGGCCAGCCAAAAGCCGTTGAACCGAGGTTCCAAATGGGTTTTCCACAGCTATAGCCTGTCCCATGAACTAGTTTACTTGAACCCAGATCAAAGATGGCCCTAATCTAAATGAGGCCATAGACTATATCTACTGTCCTACATATGTAATTATATAAGGTATGAAAGGCTATTGTGTTGCACGTCATACGCTAGAATGGAACAACAGCCACATCAAATGCATCTTGGCAAGGTTAGCCTTTGTGGGGTATTCGTACAATTATGAAAATGTGCACTGGAGTGCCTAAAACTCCAAGGCTGGCGCATACAGGGCTATTTATCACTGTCTGACAGGTCCGCATACACAGCCCCAGGCTAGGCAGACAAAGAAACTATAGTGGTGGGAAACAAAATTTTGCAGAAGGACATAAAAACAATTTCATACGAATCGTACGTTTGAGAGCATTTAAACCGAATGCCATGAAAAAAACACTGTCTACTTGTACAATCAAACCTGAAAACCTGCCAACCAACCGACATACCGATGTGACATGGTTTTGACATTGTCAATATTCGCTTTACCCATGGCATAAATACAGTTCACATAAACCACAGGTTGCCCTTTGGACCTGCTAAAGTGCACCACCGCCAGGGCGCAGCGAACGACCTTTCTAGCAAAAGGACAAGGGTTACAAAGATGTGTGCTTGGGGACATGTCCTGTAGGTGGGGCCCCAACATTCATTAACTACACATACCTGGACCAACAGCTTGTCTTTGTTGGCTAGCTTGATTAATGACTCGCCCTGATAAAAGCACATGGAAAACATCAGCTTCCACCAGAGCGTTAAAAGAGCTTAAGAGAACAAAAATGATAAGCATCCCTTTGGAAAATGGCAACCTTCGTGGCAAATTGTACCAGAACTGGATTGTATACATACATATACACATATGTTGACACAAAAGAACGCATCCTGTTTGGTCTTTATCACTTCCTGACTTATAAAACAATAACAAGAACGCTAACATACAGGACGCTACCTTAGAAAACGCACATTCAATACTTTTTGTCATTGACCTTTCAGAAAAACACTTTTGTCTCCAGAAATAGTACAGGATATATGAGTCAAGTGTCCTTCATACATAGGTCAAACTCTTCTGTGGAAAAAAATCAATGGTGGACCTCAGCAAAGGTCGACCATACATTGTACATGTAGGCTATGCTTCATGTAGATGTTTTTCTACAACTAACAACGTCTAAAACGGTTCACGGAATGTTCCAGAGCCTTCCACAAAGCTGTACCTAGAATCACACCATTAGGAATTCAAACAAAGGATATCCGTCCAAAATCCACAAGTTTTAGGAAAAGCATTTTAGCAAAACTGAAAATGTGTGGAAAAATTTTGCCAGAGGTTATAAAACTATCATTTGTATTGTACAACTGAAAATGATTTGCTTCTACCTTTTATTCAATGCCACCTGACCTACTAAAAAG